CCTACCACGGCCCCCTCGCCACAGAAGTACTCCTGTGTTTTTACTTAAAGTGCCCCATTATGGATTTTTGAAAATTACCTTTCATGCGGTGTGTAACACAGCTGAAATGGCGGCGCGCACGGACGCAGTGGCTTTTAGCTCTCCTGTTTGGTGTTTTGTTTGTGTGGTTTTATATTTGTTTTCGAATTTGTTTGTCGAGACATGCAATGCATACATTGCCTACAGTCTTATAGTCTTATTTATTGTCTGTGGTTATATGTTTGTTTTTCTAACACCAGTCAGGAGCAGTGCTCCTAATTTCGTTGTATACAGAAAAATACAATGACAATAAAGGCATTCAATTCAATTCAATTCAATTCAATTTACTTACTCTCAGATCGCAGCTCTGATATCTCACTGAGATTTTCGCTTATTTAAGCCAAGATGTCAAGACATGCAATGCATACATTGCCTACGAACGTCAGAACTTAATCAAGTACGGATTTCAGTGCAAGCGAACCGTTACAAGTGATTTTCAGTGGACTCACAACATACCGGAGGACATAGCAAGAGCGCCGGGATCTCCGTGGATTGTTATCGGACCCAGCAGACGACGCAGGCGGCGGAGGGAGAGGAAGCAAAAGCGAGGACGCCGGGCAGGCCTACATATTCGGCTACGTAAACAACCGATTAAACCACCGCTTCCGAGCATATTTCTCACCAACGCCAGATCAATAACTCACAAAATGGATGAGTTGGAGCTACAGTTAGCAAGAAATCGTCTTGTTCGTGATTGCTGTGTGATGATAATAACCGAAACCTGGCTGCACACGTTAATTCCCGATGCTGCGGTTCAACAAACAGGATGCACAATCCACCAGCAAGACAGAAACAAAGACTCGGGTAAGAGCAGAGGAGGGGGACTTTGCATCTTTGTGCACAATGATTGGTGTAACAACAGCAATATTATAGACACGTACTGCTCGCCTGACTTAGAAGCGCTGTCTGATATATGCAGACCGTTCTATTTACCGAGGGAGCTAACAGCAGTAATAGACTGCTGTGTACATTCCTCCAGACGCTAACGCTAGCGCAGCTCTCACTCAGTTACACAGCACTATAAATGAACACCAACGGAACCATCCAGACGGAGTGCACATCATAGCGGGTGATTTTAATCAGTGCTCACTACCCTCCCTGGAAAGCATTGCTCGCTCCCATTATCTCTCATTATCTTATAATCAGGCCTCAAAGTAGGAAATAGTATGTGCCGATATTCCCCGCATTTGCTTTTTGACGTCAATCAGTTAGTATCAGTATCAGCAAAACACTCTGTATTAAATGTACACTTTCTCAAGCACATACAACATATCGGCACACACAGCTAATGTTCTTATGGTCACATTTCCTCAATAAAAATGTATCTGAAAGCATCAGTTACCTGTCCAAGCATTGAAGGGATGTGGGACAAGGGCCAAAAATATCATCAAGGACACAACCCATCCAGGACACCACCTGTTTAATCTTCTGCCCTCAGGCAGGCGGTACAGATCCTTAAGAGCAAAAACCACTCGCTTACAGAACAGTTTCTTCCCACTTGCTATCAGGACTTTAAACTCATAAAATGCACTAATGCCAAAATACTATTCCAACCACGTTATTCTTTTAACTACAGTCACTTATTTCATTCAAATTTCTTCTGTCTATACTGCTGCTATACAACATGCAATATACAATATTGTACAATATGCAGTATGTCAATCTGCAATACCACTGTCTGAACAATTTATTTATCAGAACTTCAAACAATGCACTAAATAGTATGTCAGGGTGAAATACCATATCTGGTTACTAAATGTGAACACTATATCTGCAGTAAAGGTGCAATAATATATGTGCAATAATATACACTATATGTCAATGTGCAATACTATCTCTAGTCACTAAATCACCACAGTTACTCATTCCATTTAAATTGTACTTTTGTATAAACTTACTGTGCATATCAAGGTGAAGGCCAACGTGCAATACTATAAATGGTCACTTTACTCGGATTGCTCAATGTGAATATCAGGACTCAGTCACTTGTTGTATTTACTTGTAAAATTGTACTGTACAGTCTTATAGTATTTATTGTCTGTGGTTATATGTTTGTTTTTCTAACACCAGTCAGGAGTAGTGCTCCTAATTTCGTTGTACACAGAAAAATACAATGACAATAAAGGCATTCAATTCAATTCAATTCAGCTCTAAGTGAATGAAAATAGCCTGCACAGTTTTAAATCTGAAAGTGCACCATGTATAAAGTTGTTGTCTCTCAAAAGAAAGAGTTGACTCTGAATCATTTAAATGAGCCGTTTTTAAAAACGAATCCGAAGCCATTTTTTTATGTTGACATCAACATGAAACATTAGCATATTGCCCGCCCACTTGTTGTGCGCGCAATCCTGGGAAAACTTGACCATTGGTCGATTTTTGCATTGGTCTGAATGAAAATGCAAATTCATTCTTTGCCACTAGGTGGCACTTTTGGAGCAGTAAAAATAGGATCCCCAGTTATGGTACACAAAGCAGCACTGCAAAACGCTGCTTTATCAGGCATTACAGGCATGATGAAATTAAAATGAAATCAACCATTCAGACCAATCACCGCAGATTAGTGTCACGCAAAGGAGGGGTTTGGAAAAATGAATCTTGAGCGCATCGTTTGGGAGTCGTTGAGCAAATAAGGTAAAAATAAATATTATAAGACAATGAAAGTGTTTATTGACCTTGCATGCATGTCAACCTGTTGTTGGGGACTCCCAAAACAAAAATATGAACATTTCATAATCCAAAATAGGGGCACTTTAAGTAAAAATCGGTCTTTACAACTTTCACTTGTAATGGAGTAACATTTGACCAGCAGTGTCTGTACTTTCACTCAAGTAAGGGAGTTGTGTACTTTGTCCACCTCTGGTAATACTTGATTTCAGCCTTCATCCATTCACCCTACTTTTAAGCTCAGACCACCAACCATAAATGCTTAATATTGTCTGATTATGGTGATATAATGAAACAAATAGCCTAATGCCAGGTTCAGACTACACGATATTTTGTCTTTAACGACGCACGTGATGTCATCGAGAAGGCGGAACTAGCGACTGACTTCCGAAAACAAGAGTGTAAACATTGCTGAAGTGCTTCCGCTATAGTTCGCCAGCATTTTTCTTTCTTTGTTCTGTCATGGTAGTCCCTCGATGACACATCATACAGGCAGGAGTAGCCTACTGTTGCCACAGCTCCACAAACCTTTCCTCCATAATTCCACCTAGCAGCACCATCATCTCTCTTTCGTTTTGCCATGTTTGAAACCTGTGTTTGAAAGAGCTTCTGTGCCGCTATTGGTCAACGTCACCAATGTGACAGAACTCATCGTGGACGATGGAAAAAAATTAAACATGCTAGTCTTTCTGTTGTGATGTCGTGAAGCATCGCAGACGCGGAATCGGTTGTCGTCCACTATGACACACTACACGTGCTGAAACGATGGAATCTTGCATCCCGACGCCCATTGTCGTTTACGAATCCCCACGACACCCTACGTCAAGCAAATCGTGGCAAAATCGTGCTAAAATCGTGTAGTCTGAACCGGGCATAACAGTCTTTGCCTTATTGATCTTCCCTTAAAAAAATAACCATGGATTTATTGAAGTAAAAGTGTAGTAACCATGTTTTTTGGCATATTGATTACCATTTGTATAACAAAGTTTTACTACATATACAAAGGTTAAACTAAGGCTAGTGTAGCAAAACCATGGTTAATTTGTGGTTACCATGGTTTAACTATAGTAACCAGGTTTTATTTGTAGTAAAACCATGGTTAATTTTCATAAGGGTTGTGGGATAAATGATGCTGTACACATGGTAATTTTTAATTTGTTAATTTTACGTAAAAAAATTGCCTCCGAAAAATCTCACCATCTCAATTCAGTTCATGACGCGTAATTGTAAAAAGTGCTGTAAAAAAACGCTCGTCAACTTTGATAACCTGTTTATTTCGCATATTAAACGAGGAGGAGGAGTTCTCTAAACACATATCCTACACTCGAAATTCATAAGTGATTAGACATTATCAATCAAGAACTTATAGAAGTAGTATAAATGAGATGTATTAATAAGCAATACAATTAGCTTGCTCATTACCAGTGTTGGGGAGTAATTACATGTAATGGAGTTACATAATTTATTTACAAAATAAATGTAACTGTAATCTGTTACAGTTTCTGGGAAAATGTGTAGTTAAATTAGAGTTATTGATGAAAATGTTAACAATTACAAAGGGGGTTACATCGGAATATTTTAACACACACACACACACACACACACACACACACACACACACACGTTTGTTTATGTGAATTGTGGGGACTTTGCATAGACTTCTATTACTTTTATACTGACCAAACAATATTTTTTATAACCCTAAACCTACCCCTTACAGAAAACCTGTTTGCATTGTTACACTTTCAGATAAACATCATTTACTATTTTTAATAATTTTAATGTCAACAATTACAGGATTTACTATATTTGTGGGGACAAGGATAACCCTAACTCACAATGTAGCATAAACAAGTACACACACACACACACACACAGATTTAATTGATTCTTTCGCAAATTGCATTGACTGCTCTAAAATATGTTTCAGAAGTTTAGGACACAGAATAGCACACGTGCTTATTTGATTTGAGAATAACAGTTGAAGACGTTCATTAGAAATTTAGATAAGTAATCAAAAAGTAATCTAATGTGATCAGTTACACTACTTTAATTAAGCAATTGAAATAGTTACACTACTTGTTACATTTTAAATAAGGTAACAAATTACATTTCCAAATTAACCTCCGCAGCTTGTATCAACAACGAGGACTAGCACCATTGGTTTTATAAATAATTGTAATCTTCTTTATGTCCTTCTTTTTATCTGACAGTCAACCTGTTTCATTGTATTTTTCACATCTTCTTTGCACCGACAGTACCGTGAGGCCATTCCGTCCAGGTATGCATGTGTGTATGCCGTACCACTGGGAGAGCGACGGTCATGAAGTCTTTCAGTACCTGTCTGAGACTATCCTGGGTTTCCTGCTGCCCTTCACCTTCATCCTGTTCTGCTACATCTCAGTGATCTGTCGGCTGCGGAGCACAATGTTCCACCGCAAAGGAAGAGGAAACGCCCTCATCCTCCTCATCATCGTTGCGTTCACCGCCTTCTGGCTGCCGTATCACCTCATCAACATCCTACAGGTGAGCAACACCGCTTAATATGTGACCTTGGCAGTGAAAACCCAGCTAAAGTCTTTTTTTTTGTGATTTACTGTTTTCTACATAAAATCATACATACTCAACATTCTGTGAAAATGTAACCTTGATATCTTTAATAATGACTAAGACCATGTCATTAATGGTTGACATCAAACTTTGATGCTTGTTAAAATTAGTTGTTCAAATTTAGCTAACTTTAAGTATACCAGTTTAGTATACCAAAAGTGCAATTGCAGGGCATTTTTATTAAGTACATAATATGTAAATGTATTTGTAGTATTCTTAGCATGAAATAAATGTATTTCAAATACATTTTAGTATATTTTTTTTTGACTAGAGTATTTACATGAAAGGAGGCAAATCATGCAGGAAGCTTGAATATCCATTCTGATTGGTCAGTTTGTGAATAAGATTTTTTTAAGCTGTCAACTCACTAATGAAATAAAATGAGACCTTTTAAATTAAAAATGCATTTAGACCATGTCAAAGATTGAAATCATAGTGACAATAATGGTTGAAATCAAACTTTGATGCTTGTTATCTCATAATTAGATTTAGAAAAATATTGGTCTTTAAAGCCAAGATATTTAAAGTGTTCCTGAAGTATACTTGCAATAGTTCCACTTCAGCACAATCAAATTGACTTCAGTATATCTTTCATTGCACTACTTCCACACAATTAAAGTGCATTAAATACAAAATTAGTTGTTCCGATTTAGCAGACTTTAGTATACCAAAAGTGCAATTGCAGGGCATTTTTATTAAGTACATAATATGTAAATGTATTTGTAGTATACTTGCATGAAATAAATTATTTCAAATAATGCAGTCAGTTTTCTCTCATTTTATGTCAGCCCACAAAAGCACTTGTCATTTCTCTTTCTTGTTGGTCTGTTCTCACAGGTGATTGGTGTGATGCAGGGCTCCTCCTCTTCTATTTTAAAAGCGGCAAAAGTGGCACGTCCCAATGTGACGGCATTCGCCTTCATGAGCAGCAGCGTGAACCCCGTCCTGTACGTGTTTGCCGGCAGCTCTCACATCCGTCAGGCTGGTCTAGGCTTCATGGCCAAACTCTTCGAAGGAACCAATTCAGAGTCTGCCTCCACCCGCAGCAGTCGCGGCTCTAATGCAGAGAGCTCTGTTTTCACCAAGCTGTCCTTCAAGCTCAGTCGTAAAGGGGACGGGGCGAGAGCCGAGACCCCTGGTGGTGAAGACGAGACCATGGCAGATGTACAAAACAGAGATGAGATGAAGACTCTGACCACCCTGCATTAAAGTGCTCATATCTATTCTCCTGAGGTCCATTTATAATGTTAGACAATGTTGTTGGACTCTCAGTATCCCAACTGAAATATCATCTTCTGTTGCTGCTGTTTCAGAATAAAAGTGTTATTTTCTCTGTCTAAAAACGTAATTGTGATTGGCTGGAATGTGAGCGTTAAAACATTATCACATTTTTTTAGAAGATTTTCTTTGTGAAAAATTCTCATTTTGTTTTTTTTTCATACTCCTGCTGTTTACTGTATGTTTTTGTTTGTTTGTTTATTAAACATGAATATGAATTTGCATGTATACACATCCTCGTTCGTTTGCTTATGTCCACGCGACATTTAGCCGTTCAGGCTGGACTATATTTACATCTCTGACGTGAAATAAAAGTACAGTGAGTGTCATTGATCAAGTCATATTCCATTACATACAAGTCTTGTTTGTTAGTCTTATTAGTTTGACTCCTAAAAACAAAAAATATCCAATGCAATACGATGTTTTTTTTTTAATACATATACATTTTTTTTTAAGTATGTCAATGTATTTTTTCTTAGTATCATGAGAATCATTGTAAACACTTGCAATAATAAATGTAGATAATGAATGTTTAATTGTGCTTGTTCATCAGCTCCCTTTTAATAAACCCAAGTAACAACAACAGAGAAGTTACACTATGCCTAAAAATAAATAAATAAATAGGATTTAAAAGGATTTTTGCTCTATGTTGTAATTGAATGATAATTCAAAATAGCCAAATAAGATGAGATTGCTGGTTTTACAGGAGTTTATTCGAGCTGCTGCTGTTGACAATTATGTTTTAGTTTTACTTTTATGTTTAGCACAAACGTATTGTAAATATTTTACACCCAACCTTCCCTGCTTAAAGAATAAACAATATTCAAATTAGCTAAAGCACATAATGTTGGTGCTAACTAACACACATTCAACCAGTCATTTTTTATCTAAAAACATGATTAATACATCAAATGTAATATAAGAGAAAAAGAAGTATCCACACCAACAGAGATCCTTGAAACACAAATAAGGAACTTAAATTCTTGAATTATCTCATAATAAAATAGAAAGAAAACATTTTAAATATATTTCTAATAATGAGTATATATGAGTTTAAATAAGAAATGTTGAAAGAGTTTCTAAAAGCAAAATATGTAAACAGCAATTCTGGCCACTGAGGCTCTTAATATTAAGCAAACAAACCCACAGGAATCACACTGATACATCAAGAGAAATTCATCCACCTGCAGAAAAAAACAGACCCTCAAAAGAACAATCCATACAATTTACAGTGCAGTCAATACCAGTAATTGATTTGAACTGTTTAAACTATATTAACAAACATCTGAGCAAAAGATTTCTGCATTTAACCTCCAGGTGTGACTGCCTGCTGAGTTAGAAATTATTATTTGTAAAAAATATTGCTGATTAATGAAGTTAAAGGAACACACATTTTGTATCTCACATCAAAGGTCTGTGTATCCTTTCACTCTTAATATCTGCTGCAGATGAAGCTGAGTTTGTCGTGTTCAGGACGGCTGATCCAGCGCTGATCTCCTCCAGACTGAACTGCTCCAGATCTCACTGCGTCTTCACAGTCCTCCTCTGATGTGCCGTTCCCTGGAGCCCAGTTCTGATAGCACGCGGTCTCTCCATTCACCCAGAACCAGATGCCCACAGTGCAGGAGTGACGCAAACTCAACCACACCGCCGCAGTAGACGCTCGTTTAACCACGTTCCTCACCTCATGCTGAATCTCTTCTGAATGAACCGAGACCAGATCCACATGATTCTGTCTGCAGTATCTCAGAGCTTCAGACCACGTCAGATTCTCTCTGATCACAATCAGTTTATCTGGAAACCAAACAAAGCACAAGCAGAAACTAGAGAGAGACTGATCAAAAACAACATGCAGAACAAACACTGTGGATGAATTTGTCATGTCAGACATGTAGCGTCAACTTTAAGAGATCTGGAGGTGATGATGGATTGTGTGTGTGTGTGTTTTGTGAAGATCTACTCACCTTCATGACACACAAAAGAATATTGATTGATGCAAGAGACATCAAACCATTTTCCCTGAGCATTAACAGCTGCACAGTTTTCACCACGTCCATTATTATCAGGTTCACCAGACTTCCAGTATCTGAATGAGGAGTCACTCTGATCTGACCACTGCCATGAGTCTCTGAACAAACCGATCCAGACTTGTAATTCAAACAAATGACTACCATTAATTAATTTTTCAACTTGTTCACTCTCGTTCTGGTTCCTCACACTGACCAGATCAGTGTGATTCTGTCTGCAGTAACTCTGAGCATCTCTCCATTGCATTTGCTGATTCCCAAGGACAAATGCTGTGTTCGCTTTAAGAAAAAACAAATGGACAAAGTTTCATGAATCAGTTTGTACTATCATTCATGATCTTCTGAACCGGTTGATTCTCATTCTGGCTTCTCACGGTGACCAGATCAGTGTGGTAATGTCTGCAGTAACTCTGAGCATCTCTCCAATACTTCATCTGATTGACAAAGACGAGTTCTCTGTTCACTTTAAACAAAACAAATGGTAAAATATTCGTGAATCAGTTTGTTCATTATTCTTACACTGCTTTATAAAAACAAAACAAAAAAAAAACACTGTGCTTAGGGTTGCCACCTTCAGCGAGGTAAAATAAGGGACACCCATTCACAAAAAAAAAAAACCCAAGGACACAAATAATCAGTGAGGAAATCAGGGAGGCGCTTTGAGAGCGGCAGAAACAGCGGTTTCTCCAGTAATGGCTGTAATTAAAGCAGCTCCGCTCATGAACGCTACTTTATCAGATAAAATAAAAAAGACATTCGGTTCCCTTCAGAGATACATTCATATAAAACACCCGTGCCACTACCTGGGGTGGCCAACCAGATTTCAGTAGGGCCACCACGTAGATATGCCCCTGAGTGGGAAGCCATTTTTGCTCTCATTTTAGCCATTTTTTGGTCTCACCTCAGTCATGGTCGCAAGAGAGCGCTGGTTATTCACTCCCCCCACCAACAATCCCTGCCGGACCTGAGACTCAAACCCACAACCTTCGGGTTACAAGTCCGACTCTCTAACCATTAGGCCATGACTGCCCCTGTGTTTGTGTGCTGTACACTGCAGTTCAATATATTAACTTACGGTGGCCAAGAGAGCTCAACGCGCTGCAACTTCAGAAAACATATGTAAATAGATTTATGGCCAGTGTCTAGATCAGTGGTTCCCAATCCTGGTCCTGGAGGCACCCCAACACTGCATGTTTTGCATGTGTCCTTAATCAAATGCACCTGATTCAAATCATCAGCTCATTAATAGAGACTTCAAGACCTGAAATTGGTGTGTCAGAGAAAGGAGACATGCAAAATGTGCAGTGTTGGGGTGCCTCCAGGACCAGGATTGGGAACCACTGGTCTAGATGATGCACTTCTAGATTTATTCAACTTCTCCTCGTTACTTGTTATGCACACAGCGTATATTATGTTTGCCTGTCTAACGAAGATATTTTCTGCTATATTGTGTATTGCATAGCTGGATACTTTGAGTAGTTCAATCAGTAATATTCGCTATAATCTGTGACGCACTTTATAGTTAGTCATATTTCCGTACGTGTGACAGTGCTTAGCAGCAGTTATTATTGCTTTGACCATGCTAGTAGTAATTAATTGCACGTTACTGTTTAGTTACTATTTAGTTATTGGATGAATGTATATTGATACTAATTTCATAATGTTGTTACTTATATTTGTTATTTGATTAATTTCAGAACCACACACATATAATATAAAGCCAACTGAAAGATTGTTTGCCCATGCCTACTTCAACTGTTCATTAAATACCCTCAGTTCAGCAATTGGTCTGGTTCCTGTGTCCTGACCGACACCCGGGAGTGATTACTACACAGAATAAGACCCGGCAATAGAACTTATATACAGTCCTTCTAAATCTCCCTAACACAAAGACTTCTACAACTTGTGACATACTGAATATTCATAATGTATTCAAGATGATTTTAAAGATATAACATAAAGTAACATTAGTGAAATTGTGATGAGTCTAAAGCTTTTTTTTTATTTGTCCATTGTGTTTCGTTGCATGTCTCTATGGAATACTTGATTCAGTCACAAAAAGCAGCATCAAAACGTCAAACAGAGAAAGATGTTACACTGCAGTTCAATATATTAACTTATGGTGGCCAAGAGAGCTCAACACGCTGCAACTTCAGAAAACATATGCAAATAGAAAAAGCACCAGCAAATGAAGAAAACATCTTCATCAGTTTGACAGCATATGTGCTGCAAATCCTCACAACACAAACAAATAAAGAAACACGCTACAGATACTCACAGACCACAACTAAATTACCTGAACAAAATTAAAATTTACCATTTTTTTTTTACCATTTGTGCAAATACAGTTGTACAAATTCCATGGTTAAATTATGGTTAGTGCAGTAAATCCATGGCTAATTTGTGCATGGTTACCATGGTTTAACTAGGCTATAGTAACCATTTTTTGTTTTTATTTAGTTTTTATATAATAAATGGCTGGCCCTAGCTGGCCCTATTCTGGTTCTGTACGCTGGACCAGACAGGTTCCACATGTCAGCCTCAAGCTTATTTAGGTTAATAATATTAGTCAAAAAAAAAACTAAGGAATTGTATGATAGGGATGTTCAAATAAACAAACATTTCACCTTTCAGAGCAAACGTTGATAAATATGTCCCCACCATGTTCGTCACTTTGCTATTCCCACATTTCCGATGTGGTCTGTGCCTATTTGCAGTGCGTTTCTGTTTTTGCAGCACATTTCTTTATTCGGTTGTGTTGTGAGCATTTGCCGCACATGTGTTGTCAAATTGATGAAGATGTTTTCTTAACTTGCATGTGTTTTTTCATTTGCAACGCATTGAGCTCTCTCGGCCACCGTATTAACTAGTTCATAGACTATTCATTTATGAATTAATATAGTTGCAGTGTTGATGCTCTTGGTCTTAATGCTCGATTGTTTTGTGATTAAATATACTGGACTTAAGTTAATCTACAAGTAAAAATTCACCCATTACAGGTTTGTGTTGAGATACTGAAAGCTGAAAATATCAAGCTATATCACCTCTAATCACTTCTGTATGTTTATTATGAATATTATCAGATCTTTAACAACTAAATGCACATCAGTCTATCTTTAGCTTATTTAATTGTAGGTTCCCATTGTGACAAATTACCCCATAGTGTAACAACAAAAGGAACTGTTGTTGTAATTTTAAATATCTAGGCTCACTGTTGCTGCAGATGAAACGTCGGGTAGCACTGCATGCCAAATCATGCCATTCTCTATTCAGCATCATAGCACAATCATCTCTGCCTTCTGGTTGTTGATCTCCCCAGTTCAGATAGAGTGCAGCTTCACCTGAAGACCACTGCCATTCATCACGACCCGTCTTCTGCA